ATTTATTCAATCTCAGAACCCGATATCCTTAATTTGGCGATTTCCCCAATTTCCCAAAATTGAAGAACATACCCAGTAGTTTCAAAATTGAAGAACATATCCGGTATTTTGCACACGAAACATATCTTCTTCCAGGATTAAGGTCAGTCCACGATGTCCTCGTGACCACATTTTTTCTGCAACGACAAAATCTTTCCATGATATGCTCAACTGTTTGCCTCCACTCCATTTGGACAATTTAGGGTTAGGGTTCTTATGAAATTGAGGAAAAATTGGGGAAAATTTTGGACAAGAGGATTGTGAAAGAGAACGATATATTTATATACGATATATAAGGTCAGATTACAATTTTACCCTTAGAATTAATGCCAACTCCGCCGCTTAAGGAGTTTTCCGGCCAATTGCGTTGGCTGAGGTTGCAATTTATCAATAACGTATAGTTGGGGTTGCATTTTATCAAAATTAAGAGATTATGTTGCAAAGCCAAAAAAGCCCCAAAGTTCATGTTGGTCAAAAATTTTTTCCCAGGAAAAAAAAGGCGAAAATCAGAGGAAAAATCAATGTGGGAAAGATTTAAGGAAAATATCCAAATTCCAAATTTAATCATCTAACAAAAAAAAAATGTGAATTACGCGAAATGTTTTGTCAAGAAAACAAAATGTAATCGTGCAGATGTATTTTCAATTTTCCTTTAATTTTTTAATCTAATTTTATTGTGGATAAAACTTGGGTCGTCATATGTCTTTTAAATACATCCAACGGCCCATATTGCACATTAGATATCTACGGTTTAAATGGGCACTGCAGAGCCCCCAAATCTGTTAGTTTGATCCCGTGGCGTTTTTAGTCATAAGAATTGAATATTTTTTTTATTTGGTCCTATGATTTTAAAATTCAACGCAATTTCAGTCTTTGAGAACTGAAAATGCAACAGAATTTAAAACTACATGACTTAAATTGCTAATAAAAAATTTAAGTCCTGTAATTTTTTGTTTTGTTGCAATTTCAGTCCCAAAGGACTGAAATTGAAGCAAAATACTAAATTACAGGAACAAAAAACAAAAAGTTAAATAAAATCTTGGGACTAAAAATGTTATAGCGTTAAGCAGGACTAAAAATGCAATTTTGCTTTTAAAATAGAATAGTTAAAATTGATTTGATGTAAAGTAAGAGAGGAAAATTTTGTTAGTTAAAACTATGTGAGTAGATGAATTAAAGTTGAACTGATGCGTAAAAATGATTAGTTTATATTAATTAATTATATTGATAATATTGACGATAGTAGGTTGAATTAAATTTGAGTTTTGATTAGTCTTTTACTAGTCAAGTTTATATCCAATCACACCCCTAATATTCGAACAATATACAATACAAGCGATAATTCAAAATTTTAAATTCACAATCTACCCTGGGAGATTCACTCAAAATTTTTCTAAGTCATATCATATAAATTAGGTTGCAAGAGGATTAAATTCGTTAAGTTTTTGAGTTACAAATGAGTCGACGTTCTTAACCAAACCAACGCTTCTCAAGCTTGCAGTTTTCGGGAGGACCTAGCCGCAACTAATGAAAGCTGGAAGGACAAATGATAGTTGTGGCCTTACAACAAAAACATAACATCGTTGAAACTTCCAAAAAAATGTTGTTTTGACTCAACCTTGGAAAATTCGGGCTTTGTCCTTTAGGATAAGGACATACTGGAAAGAGATGAGAATAATGAGGACGAGGACCGCCATCTAAAAAATGCTTATAACTGAGGTCGATGTGCCCGTATCAAAGAGGCGAGACAACCAACCATGGGAATGCAAGGGCAGCGACCAGCCGCGACGCACTATCGGACACTCGATAGCAGTGATCGATGCGAGCAATACCCTAGCAGCACCAGTCCAGAGTCGAGACGAACAGACGGACGTGCAGCGGGCATGCGACTAAGATCGCAGGCAACATCAAATATGGTAAGATGTGGTCACTACTTAGATACAGGGACCAAACAACAATAATAATATTTATTAACTTTGTTTTTGTTAATTTATTATTCTTTAAGACCTTGTTGCAATTTTCAGTATTGTTCTTTACAAAACTTGTATTCATCATTGAAAGATTCATGTAATAAGAAATCACAAAAGCTGCTAGCACCAAATCATCATGCACAAACGACGACCGTTAGTGCGGGTTATCACAAATTCAATTCACAATACACGATCTTCATCAATATAACGTCACACAACTATAGCGAGATAGATATGAATCTAGAGCATGGTTGGAGAGGCTCTAACATAATTAAAAAAAGATAGAACAAATCCCATTTGACCATTAATTTTCGCAGTTTTGCTATGAAGACATCGGATGGCTCGACTTATGGAGTCATCCACATTTATTTACCAATAGTATACTGACACGTGTCATGCAATAAATACAATTTCAATGCGTATCAATACATTAGTGATAGATGACTACAATAAGAAAACCATTCGACAGCGCCACAGAAATTTTTGTTAATTTTCAATCTTTGTTAAAATCAACCTCTATCTTCCTCCGCATTACTTATTACTATGTCCAATCATATTGCAAAATAAAGCGATCAAAATCCCTATTCCAGTAGCCAAGCTTGACCAGGAGATACGTCTCTCTACCCCTAATTATTGTCGAATCAAACCCTTCCTGAATTTGATTGTTGATGAAAGCCAAGGTGTAATCTTTTGAGATCCCTGGATAAATCCTTTTATCACAAAAATGTCAGCCGCATGGAGAGAGCCGTGGCTGCTGAGGCTCGTATTTTTTCTCGGGTTCGGGTTAGGGTTTGAATTTGGGGATGCGTTGAAAGTGCCGTTCCGAGTGAACGACGTGCTGCCGGTATTGCCGCATCAGATATCGTGGCCCGTGCTCAACAACATTCACAGCGCGGTTGATTTGCTGCCGCAGTATGTGGGTTCATTGGCGCCGAATAATGGGACGATCAAGTGGAAAGGCGCGTGCTTTTATGATAACGAGGCCAAGATCGAGTTCAGTGGTGCCGGTTATAAGGGAATCGGCGGTGGCGTCATTCATCTTTCGGTTTGTGACCTCAATTCTGGCCATCTCTTTCTCTCTCCGTGTGTGTTTCCCTGTTTGATACCAAGCAAACTGCACTAGTAATGGTTTTGATACTGTTATGACAATATTTAGAAATTGTGCTTGATGTGTTTCTTTTTTCTTTTTTAAGTTTCCCGTTATCGATCTTTTCTGGAGGAATGAATCAGTTTATGGAGTAAAAATGACAAAAAAAGGCTAGAAAGTGGACAGATGCTCAATAGAAAATATGCTGTGCTGATGCTTATTTGTGTAGTGAGTTTTTTGAGGAATAAACTTTCTGAAAAGTATAGTAGTACTTTTGAGGTTCACGGTTTATTTTGACGATTTTTCAGATTAAAGAACTGTTATTTGTGGAAATAGAGTAGATTCCACTTCATTTGACCTTGATATTGCTATAACAAGAAATGGGAGGACCAGGACCTATATTAATACATATATGTAAATTATTGGCACAGTGTGTTGATAGTTAGAAAAGACCACGAGCTATAGGTATGCAATCCATTTCGAAATGTTCTTGTACAATGTTGCAGATATTGGAATAGCTGTTTTTGTCAAATACAGTGGTTTAATCGATTAAGTATTGGCTTCTGCTAGCGATAGTTTTTTGTTATACATTATTATCAGATTTTGTATTCTTGAGAAAAAGTGCTCTGAATGCCTTTCCTATGGCGGCCTGTGATTGGTGATGTAGCTGACTTTGAAATTCTGCTACCTATTTTCTTTTAGACTGCCGCCGCCCACAGCTGGACATGCATGGATCTGTATGTATTTGCCACTCCTTATAGGGTGACCTGGGACTATTATTTCTCGTCTCGAGATCATACGTTGAATATCGAATCGTGGGAGGAGCCTGCTGAAATAGAATACGTAAGCAAAAGGTTTCTAATAACTGGATTAATAATCAACTATTAGCTTTTGGCAAGTAAATGTTGACATCTTCGGAACACTCTGAGCAGGTAAAACAGCACGGGATCTCCGTATTCCTTATGCCTTCGGGCATGCTGGGGACATTTCTTTCCTTGGTTGATGTCTTGCCTTTGTTCTCCAACACGGTTTGGGGTCAAAGCGCGAATCTGGCCTTTCTGGAGAAACACATGGGTGCAAAATTCGAAAAACGTAGTCAGCCATGGCGTGCCACAATCAATCCTGAAGATGTGCACTCTGGTGATTTCTTAGCTGTTTCAAAGATCCGCGGGCGTTGGGGTGGATTCGAGACACTTGAGAAGTGGGTCACGGGTGCATTTGCAGGGCATACGGCTGTGTGTCTGAAGGATGAATTGGGTGATCTTTGGATTGGTGAATCTGGACATGAAAATGAAAAGGTATTTGGTATAGATTATATCTTACGGTATTTCATTCAAGATCCATATGTCTTTAGAGGTTAAGCTCCACACATAGCTATCAGCCACGTCTTTCCGTGGGTATCCTTATCAGTTTCAAGAGGATTTGAGCAAAAAGACTTTCATCATAGCATCGGAGTTAAATTCTTTTTTTTGTTCTTGATTTTCTTGTATTTCACATATCGCCTATGGTTTATATAATTTCTCTCGTGTTTTACAAGTATTTTTCTTCACTAAAATATAACCTTGATTCCTTGAAGGAATTAAATATGATTGCTCCTTAAATATATCTTCTATATTTACTCCACCAGCATTTGAACCTCTCGTATTCTATATGTTCCTTTCCGAATGTTTGATGAATTATCACGGACTCATTCTATAAAAGTTTGATATATTTGATGTAGAAAAACATGAAAATATGTGCATATGTCTACTGCATTCTAATATGCCCACTACAATATTTCAATGAGAACGAGTTTATCAGTGTATAAGTGGTCCTATAATAGTCCTAAACTGAAAGTGCAAACTAGATGCCCTATTTAATTCGTGGTGTTTCTCAGCTTAAGCAGGTGCTATGAAACTATTTGAAGTTTTATAGGCCAAGTTCGCTGATTGAGATTTCCAAATACTTTTGCATTTTGTTATAGACCTCAGCACTTGCTGAATATACCATGTTAAATTTCGCTCTTTAAAAGATCTGAGTTGGGGCCTCTAACTATGAGATTTATAAGTTCCTTATTCACAAATGTAACATCATTGACAGCATGCTGATGTTAACATTTCTCCTTGGTGCTTTCTTAGGGTGAAGAGATTATTGCTATAGTTCCTTGGGATGAATGGTGGGAACTGTCCCTAAAAGATGATTCTAATCCTCAAATAGCTTTACTTCCCTTACATCCGGATGTACGTGCTCGTTTTAACAATACTGCTGCCTGGGAGTATGCTCGGCAGATGGCTGGAAAGCCATATGGTTATCACAACATGATCTTTAGTTGGATCGATACTGTAGCGGACAATTACCCCCCGCCTCTTGATGCTCACTTGGTATACTGTATCCTCTTTCGAAAAAAATGTTTTTTATGCACACTATCCTCACCTATCACTCTTGTGATATCTTAATGTTGTATATGTAAATGATTTCTTATAGTGCTCTTTCCCTAAACCTTGCGCTTTTGTTGATCACCTTTGCTCTGCAGTGAACATGTCTCGCTTACATATAGATTGTGTTCCAAATTGTGTATGATATTAAGCATGAGAAGACATAATATCATCTGAATTCTGAATTTGGATAAGAATCTGAAGTGTATCAATTTTTTACTGAACACTACATTTTCTGCAGGTTGTTTCTGTCATGTCTATGTGGACAAGAATGCAGCCGGCATATGCTGCGAACATGTGGAATGAAGCACTTAATATGCGCCTTGGGACTGAGGTGACATTGTGTTTTCTTGGTATTGACCATTTTTTAAGTTTTTGTCACTTGCTCTCTCTGATTGGTCGTCCAAAAAAAGTGACAAGGCGATGAGCTAAATCAGTTCAATCCTTTGGTTGCTTGCAATGCTGATTACTAATGGATCTGGTCTGCGTTTTGAGTGCATCACGTGATTGCTATTGGGTTTATCACAAACTCGACACCTGAAGTCTAGATTAATTACGAAAACAACCCAGTTCTATTTTGAAATCTAAAAAATACTCATTCACGTTATGTTCTCTTCTCCAAAGTGCAGGAGAAGAGGAATACTTGTAGGTAAAATATTTACATTAAGGGGTGTGTGTGTGTGTGTGTGTGTGTGTAACATTCTCTCAGTTCAACTATTTGAACTGGAATTTTTCATATTACACTGAATTCTTTCGGCAATTTTTAAGTTTCCTCTATTACTAGCTATAAAAATTGTGTGAAAAAAGAATTCGGAAAAGTGATCACTGTGGGGTGGTTATAAGATTTTAAAATTGGAAAATCCGAAAATTGGCTGTCTCCGCTTCTTGTATGTAATGTTATATGTATGTTGCCAAACTTGTTCGAACATTGAGTGACTATAGATTATAGATATGCACTTGAATTGTACAGTTTGCTGGATTTTCTCATCTCGTTTTGTTTCTGGCAGGGTTTGGACTTGCATGGTATTCTAGCTGAGACCGAAAGGCGAGGCATAACTTTTGACCAATTACTTACTATCCCTGAGCAAGACGAATGGGTCTACAGTGATGGTAAATCAACGACATGCGTCGCTTTTATTCTCGCAATGTATAAAGCTGCTGGTGTATTTGGGCCAATCTCCAATTCCATTCAAGTAACTGAGTTCACGGTGAGCCCCCTATTACGCTTTACGATTTCCAGATGAATTATTTTGATCTTGTTTACTCTTTTTTACATATATTTATTTATTTCAAATAAGTCATTATCTTTATCAAATGAATTCAGATCAAGGATGCCTACATGCTGAAAGTATTTGAGAATAATGTGACTCGTTTACCATATTGGTGTAACAATGGTGGCGACAAGCTCCCATTCTGCCAGATTTTGGGCGAGTATAAAATGGAATTGCCGTATTACAACACTCTCGAGCCCTACACTAATATGAATGAGAATTGCCCATCTCTGCCTCCTACATATGAGAGGCCTGCACGTTGCTGAGCGTTATGAGACTTTTCGATTATTAATTAATGTATGTGTAGGAGAACGAATATTCCACGAAAGATGGGTTATGTTCTGTAGCCAAGTGTCTTATATATATATATTGTTGTTGGTCATAGCATATCATATGCTTGCTCTTTATTGTACAGATAGATATCTTGCTTTATGGTTCATTGTGGTTTAGTATTGGAAGCATACAATTTTCAAACGGCTCGTTCCCCTTTGTTTCTGCAGTAGTCTTGAATTTGTCTGTTGTTATTATGAAGATGCAATCATAATCATTGTTGAATAGTTTATTAGCTTTTTAAACAACTTGTTATTTGTTTGTAAAACCATAATATTCATTACGGGGACTACCTCCCTGGCTTGTAATGTATGTTGCATATAACTACTTTCGAAACAGTCTAACGGAGAGAGTTGTGACGAGAGATTTTCTTTTGATTTTTCTTTACTTAGAGTTGGGCTTGAGATCTTGAAAGATGGATTTTGGAGTTGGGTTTGGTAACTTGAAAGATGGATTTGACGGTTGGATCTCCATGGATTTGACGGTTGGATCTCTTTTGGATTTGATCTTGAATTTCTCTAATCTCTATATGGTTCCTCTTATTCTTTTCTTCTCGGAGTTATGACTTGATTGTGAATTTCTCTAATCTCTCTTCTTGGAGTTACTGTGGGAGTCGAACGATTTATTCTCGTATTAAATGTTAGAACTTGATTTGATTTAAAACAAACTTCTTGGAGGACTTGCTTCTTCGATTTTGCTAGAATGTTGATTTTAGCTTGAATTGGATATTCAAGAACGTATTCAAATCTTCATCTTTAAGTGTGTTTTGTGACTTTGAGAGAGCCTTAGGTGTAGAAGAGAGAGTCGTAGAAGAAGACTTCATTTGATATAATCTCTTTTTTTATCCTAAGATTTGTCCTCATCATAAGATTTGACTTAATAAGCAGGAAATATTTATTTATTTATTTATTTATTTTGATACTGAGATTCCAGGCCTACGCCTGACTAGTCCTCGAGGAAACAGTTCCGGCCCCTCAGAAACTGCCACCAGTTAAATCGGTGTAGCCGCGCACAAGGAGTCGATTCCCAAGTGATTGCTCGTTGACCCTCTCAGCTCCAAGGTGGCCCCACCTATCCAGCCGTAGGGTCCCACTGAAGTGATTGCTTCATGCTGCTCTCCC